TTTAGTGTTATAACTTATAAATTATAAAATGATTAAAAATTTAAAAATTATAATAATTGATAATTTTTGAGTATAAATATTGACTATTATAGTTAAAAGTTAAAAATAAAATGCGATTGGATAAATTTGTATAATTTTGTCCTATATTTTTATTACACGAACCTTAATAGTTGTCGGTTCATAATATTTCTTCTTTTTTTCAATTTCTCTCGATTCAACAGACATTTTGCAAAAATGTCATAATGTAAACTTTTGATATGCCGCTCTAAATTTTTAGCATGCTCGCCTACAAGTTCTTGTCCACAAGACTCTATTAGGCATTCTGATTTTCCTGTCGAAATATTAAACTTAAAATATTTATGAACAGGAGAAGTTCTTTTTCTGCCCATTTCTATCTATAAAGTATAAAGTATAATGATTATTAGGTACCTATGATACATTGATAAAAGGCACAACCATAGGCGTAATTTCGCTAAAATTCAGGGGGTGCAAAACTAATCAGGAAAGTTACAAACTTTCTACAAAATTGCAAAATAGGTACCGCTTGAACATTTATTTACTACTTTTTCAATACCAGTTCCTCGATCAAAATCCAAAATTGTATACACAATTTAGTATTATCATTAATAATATGAAGTAAATACATTTTATTATATAAATTAAAATAATTAGTAGACACTGTAATTTATTACATTGATATAATATTAATACATATTAATTAACAAAATTAAATTAAACTTAGGCATCTACTATGTACAGTTGCTGCTGCATTGAACTCGTCGATTACAATTTATTTCAGAATCTATAACTCGATTTCTATCAATTTGTAAGTTGTAACATAGCTATATCAGACAGCCATTCTTGTCCCACAGTTGTTCTGAGGTAAGTTTTAAGCCTTCGCAATCAGGAAAAACTTCGTTTACAAGATGATAGTGTATGATAGGTATTGTCATAAATAGTGTTAAAATTTCAGATAATAAAGGACACCTATTTTTAATTTCACCTTGTTTTATATAATCTAATTTGTTTTAAAATACACTAATTTGAGTTAGTTTGTTTAGATTTGAATATTCTAATAAAGATTTTTAGTTCTATTTGAAGTTCATGATTATAAAACTTATAGGTGTTACTAATAATGTCTAATAACATTATTTTATAAATATTTAAAAAATTGGCAAAATTATACATTATAAATATAGAAAATTTAGGGGGTGCAAAATGATAGTTTTGCACCTCCTCAACAATTCCAGGGGGTGCAAGTGCACCCCTTTGCACCCCCGAGATTACGCCTATGGGCACAACATAACAAAAATGAAATATACTTACTTAATGCGTTTATGGTAAGTAAACTGGTGAAGACTAAATAAGACTAATAATTTTCAATTGTGTGTTATACATATTATTTAATATTTTATTTTCAGTAATCTGTTTATCTGTACACATGTTTGGTTTTTGAACAATCAACAATGAATAATGAAAAAATATTAAATGCGCGCGCTAAATAGTAAATATCGTTTAGGTAACTATACAGTTTGATCACTATCGATAAAACCTATTATTGTTTTATCGATATAATAACTTGTCATTGTCGTCACTGATTGGTTCATTAGTGATTGTTTCATTCTAGCTACTATCTCATTATCGTCTTAGTTGCATAAGTTGCAAAAAATACATTCAAATTGATATGCCACTTAATGTTTAATAATTCGGGTTTTGGGTTAACCCAAATATTTCATAAGGGTTTCGGGTTATTTCGGGTGTTTTAAGGTGTTGATTTTTTCAATCGGTTTTCTATATACGGGTTTCGGGTTATGCTATTTATTTGGGTTAATTCAGGGTTCGGGTTACGTTCGGGTGCAAAGCCCTGCTTATTACTATACTTATATTCTAAATACAGCTCTTAAGAAAATTCCTATATTCGTGGAAAATGTACATAAAGTCAAATCGTCAACCGGATATAATTTAAGTTAAAGAGCACCTATTATTATATTCGTGTTCCAAAATATAAATGTGTAGTAGTCGTAGTGATGTAACAGGCCTGTAATATGATGATATTCACAGAACCTTATGGTTTAAAAGATCAATGGATAGGTGAGTGGAAAAGATGAACAATGTCAATTTGGCTAATAGAGAGACAACCAATTTAGACAGACATACCGAATGCTGAAATGATCGAATATACATATATTGTATACGCATAGACGCACAGTAATGAGCACTCCTTTGGACAGTGGTGGAAAAGGGTCGTGATGTTGACTGGCGTGTACGTTGTGTACGTTGTCATGGACCATGTGTATCTCCGGAATGGACACTGGCGACGAGTCGATTCTTTGTGGCCCTTATATAATATGATTTTGGTTGATCCCTTCTTCTTGTGCATCGATTAATACGTGATATGAAAGTATTGATATATTTTATTATTTTGTGCGGTGCGACAAAGGTATCGCTGGTAATTTATGGTTTTGTTTTGACCGAACGTCTTGATCGGAGAATTATCGAAGGGGTCTTGAAGTATATAATATATATATATATATATTTATATATATTTATATGTATATGTATACGAAAGAATGCTCTCATGATTTTATAATATACGGTGTTTACTGGAGCCGTTGATATTTGATTGTGTTGTCTTCACTAAACATCTAGTCGGAGAGGTGTAGAATATTATTTATGTGTTGTATGTGCTGCGTGTATGTAAAAGGAGTGCGTATAATGTATAATATAATATGTGACTAATGCGTACGTATATATGCATATCGGACCACCCACACTCCATAATATGATCCGTTTTCATTATTTGTCTCGTGTTTTATTCTAAGTCTAAATATTATATATTAAAATTTAATATAATATCTTCATGTAATAACTTTCAGATTAGAAGCATTCATACACACAATTCATACAACATTCATGTAACATTTCAACTTCACAAAAACAATGTAAGTACGTATCATTTATTATTAGTATTATTTGTAAATATAAACGTAGGTTGAAACAATTCAAACGAATATGCACACAGTATTTTTATTTTTATTTTTTGTAAATAAATAACACAATATTAAATTAAAATAAAATACACTTTTAAATACATTTTTAATATGTAGACATTTTCTTTAATTAAGGCTGTTTGATTATAATATTCACATTTTTTAACAAGATGTATATTAAATTTAAATAGTTATAAAATCGAAGATAAAAAAAATATATTATTCCATATAATATCTTTAGATTGTGAATCTATAGTAACAATTGAATGTTTTTTTATAAATTATAGTAGGTACCTATTAATTCGATCGATTCAAACAACTTACAATCAACTACTGTCAGAACAATCAACAACGTTTTAGAATCTTCAAACTACTATCGTTCAAACCCTGAAATTAGTTTAATTGACGTAGGCGATTATTATCCATTTATTGTAAAAGATCATGTAGTAAATATTTGAACCGATCCACTTTGAAATTATTCATTAGTTGAATTGTGTATAATATAATTGTGTATTATAGATCATCAAAAGTGATGTAGTAGTAGGTACTTGTTATCATATGGAGCCCGGTGGTGTTGCTGATCGAAATTACAAACCTATATACCAGTTTGTTCGATTTAAAGATATACAATAATTTAAAGAATATTCTAAAGATGTAAAATGTATGTTTTGTAAACGGTACTTAACGGAAGGAATTAATTTAGCATCTAACCCGTTCCCTGATGGTATTGACACCGTACCTGTACCGGTTACATAATCATCATTTTTTGTTTTAAATGTACCTAATGAGAAATATATCCCATCGTTAAAAAATTAATACTTGCAATAGAGCAGCACTCAAAGATGTTTGAGTACTATCGGTTTATTACAAAAATATTTCATAATTATTACAATATATTATTATTACTGTTATTATTTTTAAAAAACTAAAAATAAATAAATTTATTGTATTGATGTACCTATTGTGTTTATTACCTTTATAAAACAATTTGATTATGTAAACTTATTACATTTATATAAACTATATATGCATATTATATTGTTATAAAGTTATAATACTTATTATATAAGATAATATAATAATAATAATAATAATAATATTATAATACACGATGTGAAAGACATAAAATATCTTTACATAGGTACCACATTATTTATCTCTTTAACATCGTATTTATGTTTTATTGTCTAGGACCTAGGTGTAAAAAATGTATGATTTCTGTACCAATCTTATAGTATTTATACGATAATATTATACATAACTTATAATTATAATATCTCGAATAATACTTAGAATTGCTTAAAACCTAAATACATTGAATAGGTGTACAATATATTTTATATAGATTTATATTATTATAAATTAATTTAATTATTTGTAAATATAAGTAAATGTGCACTATTTACAGTTTCAAAAAAGTAAAATATCTAACAATAAAATGGAATCATCTGCATCAATTAAACATTAAATAGAAGTCATTTACGAACAGAGGGAAGTCAATTATAACAATGAATTAGAAGAAGAAGAAACATTCAAAGAAAAAATTAGATTAATTAATCAAATCAAATGAATTTAAACATTCACAATATGTAGGGTACCGATGTGAACTTAATATACGTGATAATTTAAACAGCTTGTATAGACAGTTAGAAAATATAGAATAAAATATTTATATTGTAGCATAAGCGTATAGGTACGCGATAAGGTCTTATTTTTTTAAATATATATATATAATATGTCGTTTTTTTCTTAATTAATAATATTCTTCTTTAATATATTATGTGGTAATAATACAGTATTAATTAATATTTGTTTTTTTATTAAGGGGTCTCTATAGACAACTTCTTATACATCCGTTAGTATAATAATATTTATTCTGTTTTTAGCTAAATGTAATCTTTATACGTTTTTATTATTATTATCAGTCTACGCGCACCGCCCGACGTAACAGGTTGTCCGTTCGTAACCGATTTCCTACCCACGTTCTGTGTTCATATTCAAACCTCGGGCATGGCGCCCATTAAAAAGCCGTCTAATCCTACTAATAACACTGCATACAAACGAACAGCTAGCATAGCTCTTTCACCTCGGGAAAACATCAAAAATAAATTCTCACCTTTATTGGACTTAGCAGACACTGACAACTACCAATCAGACAACATAGAAATTGATACGCCGGAGGTAAGACAAAAAATTCCACCTCTCTATGTTTACGATATCACAGATTATATTCACTTTCGCGACACAATAACACCTATGATAATAGATGAGTTTAGTATAGCCAACAAAAATACTGTCTTGAGACTTAATCTCACATCAGTCGATGACTACCGCACTATCACTAAATATTTTACCGAAATCAAAATAAAATATCACACGTATCAACTTCTAGAAGACCAAAACTTATCCGTAATAATTAGAAACCTCCCCACATCTATACCTGAAGAACAAATCTTTAACGCAATTACCGATCTAAACTTCACTGTTGTCTCAGTAACTCGATTCCAAAATAAACATAAATCTCCCATACCGATAGTAGCGGTACTACTCGAAAAAACGGCAAAAGATATTTTTCAGTAGACCGTCTACTAAACTGCATTATATCTATCGAAAACCGTAAAACTGATTCTAACATATCTCAATGCCAAAATTGTCAAAGATTCCAGCATACCAAAAACTTTTGTAAACTTCCGCCCAGATGCGTAAAATGTTCGGGAGATCATCACTATTCCGCCTGCACAAAAGACTCATCTACTCCCCCCTACCTGTGTAAATTGTCTGGGGAATCACCCAGCCAATTACCTAGGTTGCACAGCTTACAAACTACTAAAAAATAAATCTCGTCAAACAAATTCAAAAAAAAACTACTACCCATAAGCAGTCTGATACCGAAGTTAATATATACAGCAACAATCACGTATCCACTTCACAAAATGTTGCTCATAATCACCTCTCTCAGAATAGCGCAAACCCACCTGTCTTCAGTAATATCAACAAGCAGTCCTACTCAGAGATAACAAAAACAAATACCTACGAACATCGGCAACCACCTCCCTCCCAACCAAATATCCAAAGCGAGCTTCTGCAGTTACTAATGCCCACCATAAATTCACTATTACAAGAAATTATAAAAAAAGTCATCGAATATATCCCAACGTTATTAAGTCAAGCAAATGGCAGTCAACTTTAATAATATTAATAATGCTAATTTAGTTATCATAAATTGGAATGCCAATGGACTTAAACAAAACAGAAATACTTTTGCTGCATTTTTGAACTCTCACAATGTAGATATAGCCTGCATCAGCGAGACGCATTTAATGAACGCAGATAAAATAACATTTAATGGCTATGTCACTTATCGCAAAGACAGATTAGCAGCTCGACCTTCAGGTGGCGTAGCTGTTATAATTAAATCTAAAATAAAACACCACCACACTTTTATACCTGTTCTGCAATCATTGGAAGCAGTGGCAATTACTATATCTATCAACAATGTAATTACTACTCGAATTATTGCATATCAATCTCCAAGTTTTAAAATGTTCACAAGTGATTTCGATAAAATTCTTTGCAGTTTTCAAAAAGTAATGATTATTGGTGACCTGAACTCCAAACATACATAAATACACACATAAATTACATAAATACCTTTCAAATACTTCAGCTATTATCTCTTCACCTGACTCCCCGACGTATTATCCATATGACCAAAATAGAAATACTGACATACTAGACGTAATATTATTAAAATCAATACCTCTATCAATTCATCAAGAGCCCTTATTTGAACTTGACTCAGACCACCTGCCTGTTAAAATTACAATAGGGGGCGCCCTAAGTGTATCTACAAAATCACGTAAACTTATAAACGGCAAACCAAACTGAGAAAAATTTAAAACCTATATAACTCACAATATAAAAATCCCGAAAAACATAAATAACTCTTCTGCAGCCGACGAAGCCACAAACCATTTCCAGGAAATTATTCATCTAGCAGCGGAACACTGATCAAACCCGTCGTGTAACATATCTCAAAATAATACTTTTTCTCAAATACCTACTTCAATTCTAAAATTGATAAAAATAAAACACCGTACCAGGAGATTGTGGCAGCTCCATAGGCGAACTGTAGACCGGAAAACCTTAATTATCTTACTAAAAAAGTCAAAATTTTACTAGAAGAACTAAGAATAGCTTCATACCAAAATTATTTATCTACAATTCATCCTTCGGACTCAAACCTGTGGCTCGCTATCAAACGTTTAATCAAACCAAACGCTAGTGCTATACCCCAGTTAAAATCTATTAACGTCTACCTAAACTCAAATGCTGAAAAATGCGAATACTTTGCCAAAACCCTAGAAAATACTTTTTCACCGAACAATATTGTTGACACCGAAATAGAAACCACGGTGCACAACAAACTAGTGGAACCAGATATTCATCCACAAAACATACTTCCCTACACCACTCCTACAGAAATTTGTATTTATTTATTTATTTATTTATTTATAATAATAAAAGGCGTTAGCCCAAATAACAAGTGAATGCTTAATATTTAAATAATACTAGTAATAATAGATTTCTAAAAATAGAAATAATACAATAACAATAATGACCAATGATAATACACAATATATATGTGTCAACTATATTGATAATAAGATATTTATGAAGAAGAAAAAAAACAAAAGTGTAGGATAATAGTGACATTTTTAAAATAAAAAAAAAAATAATAAATAAAACTAAATAGATGATAGGTAATAGCTAGAATTACAGAAATAAAATATTGCTATTTAAGGTATTCCCGGCAGATAATAATATATTAATTGGTGAATGTGACATGTAATTTTTTGAATAATGTGGAATAAAAAAAGATCTTTGTTTCGAGTATTGTGATTGTTAATTTTGAATGATATAAGGCTAAGGATGAAGGAATCGTCGATTTTGTTGTTTAATAATTTATTAAGGAATATAGAGTAGGAATTTTGTCTTCTATCTTTTAATGTTTTTAAATTTAATTTATTAAGAATAATATCATAACCAGAGTGGGGCAGTCTAAATATATTGCATTTATGGGAAATATATCTTAAAACTTTATTTTGCACTTCTTCAATTTGTTTATTATGAGATGAAGTCCATGTTTCCCATATTATAGACCCATATTCCAGATGAGGACGGATAAGAGATGAGTATAGACTTTTAAAGGTACTGGGATCATTAAAATTTAAACAGTTTCTTTTAATCATACCAAAGACAGCTAAAGATTTTTTTTTTTATTTTGAAAATATGTAAATTAAATAAGAGTTTTGAGTCAAAAATTATACCAAGATCTTTAATATTGGATGTACGATTTAATGAATGATTATCAAGTTTATAATTAACAAAAATAGGATTATGTTTCATAGAAAAGGTTATAGAGTGGCATTTATTTAAATTAAGCAACATTCTATTTGATTTACACCAATGGTTAATATTAACTAAATCTTTTTGTAAGAGAAGTGAATCATTTTGACAACTTATTAATTTAAAAATATTTGCATCTTCAGCGAAGAGTAGAATATTTGAATAATTCAAGGCTAAAACAATATCATTAATAAATAGGTTAAACAGAATAGGTGAGAGGTGGTCACCCTAGGAGACACCTGAAATAACTGGAATAGGATCAGAAATAAAATTTTTGAATGTGACAAATTGTGATCTATTGATTAAAAAAGAATTTAGCCAGGATAATAGAGGATCAGCAAAACCAATCATTTTAAGTTTGTTAGTTAAAAGTGAATGATTAATTCTGTCAAATGCTTTTTCGAAGTCTGTATAAATAACATCCGTTTGTTGATTAATTGAAAAAGAATTTAAGAGAGAATGTTTATAAGTGATTAAGTTAGTGATTGTAGATTTTTTTTTACGGAATCCATGTTGCTGAGGAACCAGGATATTATTAAGGAGAGGAGAGATTTTAGAATTGATAATTTTAGAGAAAATTTTAGGGCTGATAGAAATAATAGATATAGGGTGGTAGTTAGAAATTAAAGATTTATCTCCATTTTTCAAAATAGGATTAATGAATGTGTTTTTCCAAATTGATGGGAAGCAACTCGTGTAAAGGGAGGTGTTAAAAAGAAAAGTTATGGGGGCAGAGAGAACGAATCTACAAGTATATAAAAATAAAGGATTAATGCCATCTGGGCCAGTAGGGGTTTTCTAATTTAAAGTGTCGAGTTCATTGAAGACATCAAGAAGGTTTATGTCACAATTATTTATTGATTGAAAAGATTTTATGACAGGAGTGGAAAGAGCAGGAGCATTTACTTTTTTATAAGTAGAGGCAAAAAAACTACTAAAGAAATTAACTAAATGTTGACCGTTATCAGCTATTAGATTATTAAGGGATAAAGAATTCGGTAGACCTGAAGAACATTTTAAATTTCTCATAAAAGACCAAAATTGTTAAGGGTTAGATTTTAGAGAAAGTTGAATTTTATTTAAATAGCAAGCATAATCAGTTTTACTACGTTGCTTGCAAAGGGATCGGATAGAGGAGAAATTTAAATAATCCAAATTAGACTTAGACATTTTATATATAACATGCAGTATTTTTTTTTGTTTAATTAAAGATTTTAAGTCTTTTAAGTACCAGATAGGACATTTTAATGAAAAAATTTTCTTTTATGGTATGAAAGAATCTATAGCTGAAAATAAAGTGGAATAAAATTCATGTAACATTGAAGAAATATCATTATATTTACTGAAAATAGAGATCCAGTCAATAGAACCTAAAAATGAGAGGATGGAACTAAAATCACTTTTTTTCCAGTCATAGGATGTTTCGGAAAAAGTAAGAGAAGAAAACGATTTATCAAACAAATAATTTATGTATAAAGGAGGGTGGTAAGCGTTTATTGGAACAATCGGGTCATTATGTAAGGAAACATTAGAAGCAGGAGAATTAGATAAAATGAAATCGAGCATGGAGTTCTTGCTGTTAAGAATAGAATTAATTTGAAAGAGATTGAGCAAAGAAATATTTTGAAGAAAGATGAATTCAGATGAAGCAAGGTTAAGATTTGGGTTTGACATAGCTTTATTTAAATGGTTCAGATTAAATTCCCCGATGAGAAGCAAATCTGTATTAGGATATAATACAATTACATCCTCAATAATATTAAAGTATGATTGGTAAAGAGTGGAATCAGAATTTGGGGGGAAATAGACACAACTAAGAATTATTTTTTTTCTGTCATTTACTTTAATTAAAACAAAAATCAACTCTAATGAACCTGTAACTATATTTAGTTTTGCTGAGAAAAATTAATGAAATAATAAAAAGATAACCAAACAAAAAATCTCCAGGACACGATCTCATCACAAATGCTATATTAAAAAAAATCCCAAAAAAAGCAATCACATATTTATCTACTTTATTCAATTCATTAATGAGAATCGGCCACTTTCCAACTGAATGGAAAATAGCCACAATTATAATGATAAAAAAACCTGGAAAAGATAACAAAAACCCTAACAGTTACCGACCCATTAGCCTACTATCTTCAGTCTCCAACATATTTGAAAAAAATCATATACATCAGGTTAACAAAACATCTAGACGCAACTGAAGCCATTCCACATCATCAATTTGGTTTTAAAGCAATGCAAAATGAGAAAGGTGAATTTAGTGCTTGCATTCCATTGAAATATTGGTTAGGTTTGTTTGAAGACTATAAAAGAATATTGGTGAATTCTAGATTTGAATATTAACTCGAAGTCATAGCGATTTAAATGCTTTAAGTTGTAAAACTGGTGTAACAGCTTCTGAAGGTGACTTTAACTTTAAACAAAATAGCCTGGAAGGTCCCACATATAACGGTCGACGATGAAGAAAGGTTAAAATTATTGAAACTTATAGAAAAAGAAAAAGCCTATTTATCCCGTTTAGATCTTTTGAAACTTTTGAATATCCTGAACTAGGACCACTAAAAAAGTTGCATGGAATTTGAAAACTGCTACAAAATTAGAAAAACCTCGATTTATCATAATTGGATTACAAAAAGGACTCAAAAATATGTTAACGAAAGATTGTAGTATATTTGACCATTGCAATTTAACAAACTTTAAAGTATTTCTGAACTCGATAGCTTATCCGTACAATAATTTAAATTTAGATTTTACTAAAAATAATTTCACCTTATTATATAATATGTATACATCGTTTCAAGAATCGTTCTATGAATAAAGTATTCGTAACCCGATATTGAGTCCTTCTACTTTCCTAACAAACGCCCCAATTATAGTCATCGATACTTCGACACAGAACGATGCAGCCACAGCCTCAGCAGTAGATGTTCAATTGGAAATTGAAGCTTCAGAATCGCTCACAGGTGTGACTGCTTACTGCTTTTTAATTCATGATCGTATTGTAGAATATGCACCTTTTACTAGAGAAGTAAGAAAACTTGTGTAAATATAATTAAGAATTTATTTATAACAATAAAAAAACTATGATTTAATAATTTGTGTTCTTTTACTTGAAATAATTATTTCAGTTTTAAGATATGGCAAAAAATTTGGTAAATGTCAAATATTTTTGTGTGAGACGAAATTTGGTAGACAATCATTGTGTAATCTCTGTATTGTGTTACACGATAAATCGAAGTGCCTTGAACATTTTTTTTTATCGTGGAAAAGCTGGCTGTGAACATACAAATATACATATACTACTCATATTAATGAATAAGTAATTGTATTTAAAATTATGCATAATTATCTATTATGTAGGTACCTACCACTACGAAATGCTGAAGCATTTAGAAGTGTTTTGTGTAGATCACTGAACTAAATTTAAATTTGTATTATTTGTTTAGTGGGTACCTTTATTTATATCAACTCTTATAGAAGTTAACTGATAGGTGTGAAAGTATAGTTTCTTAATAACTAAATAATAATATAAGGTAAATAAGTAAAAGGAATTACATGAATAATTAAGTATTACAGTTATAACTTTTACCTACCTTAATTATTATTGTTTGTTTTACAAAATTTGACTGTAAGTATAAAAAGTCTGTAACTTAAATTATTTTTCATTTAATTTAATTCCAATTTTATTGATAAACTACAAGTTAATAAGATTCCTTGGTACATTTTATTTAAAATATTAGTTTTCAAGATGTGTATGTGTTTCTCATACATATGCGATATACTCAGGGCTTAAAGTGGGAAAAAATTCCAGAGGGTATTAATGTCTCCATATAGTCTTAAGCATTCCATACATAACGCTTTTTAACCACCGTCAGAGGTAGGGGGACTGCGTCCCCCCTCACTTTAACCCCTGGATATACCACTCACATTTCATAAACAATTGCCTATAATATTTTTTCAGTGGGTAGTTGGCCTATTTGAAGAGGAAAATAAATATTCTGTGATACCCAGTAATTGGATTGTACAACTAGGTAACACTACATTTTGCCAGTGGCCGAAAAAGCGTATTACAGATACAATGATTATAAATTATGAAAATTCAACTAAAGATTGGTAACCATTCCCTGTAAAAATAATTGAACAATATTGTAAGTTATATACCTATCTGTTTCATTATTTGTGTATTACTTACCTATTAAAATGTTTGTATTACATAAAAATGTATGTATTTCCGAGGTTGTTTTTATGTGTATATTTTTATTTTTCTAATAATTGGGTAGGTAGTAACTATAGTGGAATATTAGGTATATTAGGTACCTATATTAGATAATATAATATATTAGATATATTAGGTACCTATTTAATAGTTATTATTTACAATCATCTGAATCAGATCAAAGTGTAGGAAGAGGGAAACGCAAAAGAAAAATGAAATTTAAAAAAATGATGCCCATACTCATGGCAGTGACACTGGTAATCTTTTTATTTTTCATTTGACATAATATTATTATGGTTAGGAACTTAAGTAGTATGATTTATATGGGTTGATTCACTTCCACTAAAAAAAAAAAAAAAAAAACACTAGCATTTAACATAACGTTAAATTTGCTATTAAAATTTGGCTTTATTATTTATTTGTCATCATACATTTCCATTTTCTAATAATGGATATGTTCTTAAATTTGATTTTTGTACTAGGTATCTACCTAACAACGTATTTTTTTTAATAATATGCTAGACTACCAAAATAACTTTTTTTATTAGGTAATGAAAGTTATAATTAAAGAAAAAAAGGTTTTAACTCTCCGATTTGCCAATATACATGTCAATTTAATAAGTAATCAAAATGTATGAATAAAATAAAATCGTTGATGTTTACTCTAAAATAGATAGTAGTGCAGCACAAACTCCGATAAAAATTATGAAGGACCTGAACCAAACTATAATTAATGAAAATAAATTGGACAGATTATTTAAAACCCCATTTGATTTAGATGCTGAACAGTTTGTAGCAAGTACTTCATCTACTTACAGTATTGTTTCATGTATTTTTTAAAATAATTAACTAAGCGTAGTTAGCTCAAACTAATTAAATCTATAATGTATGCCCCAAAAATTTAAATATTATACAATTTAAATGTTTAGTTAAAAAATATCATTGATTGTGTTCTGTATTCACAGCGGCCATGCAGATATTATAAAATTAATCAAGCAATGATAATATTTTAGACATAAATATTTTTGAATCAAGTGATAATCAAAATAACATAATTATTGATAATTTACATGATCAGCCTACTGATGTCATTTCAAATCTATCTATTAACTATAGAGGTAGGTAATGGTAACAAGAACATTTAATAAATAAATATTTAATTTAATAATATTTTTAATGTTACACAGATAATACTGTAAACGATAATATGATTTCAAAAGTATTGGAAAATGTTGTTGCTATACATGCATAGAGAGCTTTCATTAAGACAATTGGAGGAACTGATACAAACAATTTTATGCAAAGATGTATATGCAAAGATTATTCACAAATTAACTTTCGTCAAAATGTTCATTGAAAGGCTTTAAATCTAATTTCAGATTAGAAAATTTAATGTTCATTGAGATTATGAAAGGTAATTCTCAATTCTCTAATTGAATTACTTATTTAACAAATATTTTATAATACTACATTCAAATAAGAACTTACTTATATTAAAAATAAATTAGTTTGTAACTGAATCGTTAAGTAATTACATACTTGTTTGTAGCTTATGGTTAGATAAAAACAAGTTGGTGGCTTAACAATCCAATCCCTGATTATGAGATTGAGATACAAGAAGAAAACATTTTCATTAATTAACATGTTATAGAAACAACAAAAATCAAAATTATTTATCATTAAGTAAACCAAATGTATTATGCACGAACGGTTATAAGCATAATAAATATAGTGATTATGTAACTTTATTTACCTTTACACAAAGCTTTAGCTATGGTAGGTTAGAGATTAAATTTAAAGATATTATATTTACAAAGCTGATTGAATGTAAACTGTTGAGTTTAGGATTATGTTTGTAGATCGATCTGGACAAAAATGACTACACTGTTTTTAGTAATAAGTAATATTTACTAAACACATGACTTACACATAAGTAATATTATAACGTATTAACGACAGTAGGTATGCTAAAAGTCGGCCTTATATACAAGTGACCTATTGACCTAAGTCTCACGCCACTGTTTAACAATATCAGATTCGCTAATAAATATATGGCGTGATTTTGCACATTATTAATAGCAACGATGTTGTTGTTGCACAATATGATGATTCTTTATACAATATTAAATTATATTCAACATAAACAATTATTGTTTTATTTAAATAAATTACATAAAATATTTTAACAACCCATTCGATACATTTCTATACCTACATCTATTATTGTTTTTTTTTTTTTTTAGAAATATTAAGAATTATTTTTAAGGGAACAGATATTTTATTCAAAAATCATATAAAGGACTGGTTTAGACACGGGGCTCAACGTGTTTTGAGAGATAAACTAAAAACAAAATTAATACCATAAATAATTCAAAATATAATTTATTTATGGTTTTCATAATAACATAAAATACTCAAAATCACATACCTGCCAATCCTACATAATAATTGTTTATTTAGTTTTCCATCATAAAATAATTAATATACATTTTTAAATTAAAATTAATATTTTTTACCTTGTATATCCATCCTATACATGTATACTGTATTATTGTTAATTGCATGCATAGGCTCAAATAGGGGGAGAGGGCTTTAAGAGCTAAAAATGTCCATAGCCCCCCCAAACATTTCCTACATTTTGTTTTAAGCTTATTCAATATTATCAAAGTAAGGCTTTACCCTGCCCCCCACCATATCCCAAACACTATTTGCGACTATGATTGCATGTAATTAATATTTATTTTAATAAGAATGGTTCTTAATAGTTAATAATGCTTTTAATATTTCAGGAATAATATTATTGTTTATTTTATTATTATTATTAATACATCTTTATGTCATGTTTTAGATTAGGAAAAAAAGTCAGTTTTCAGTTGTAAGACGACATTTTATTCGGCACATTCAAGCCCAAATAAAATTATCAACTGCAAGACCTACAGAAAAAAATAAAGCTACCAAAAAAATATTATCTACAAATGTATCTTTAAAAAGTGAGTCTATAAATATTGAATCTACTGAATTTGGGGGCAATATTCTAGACATTCCCCTTATTGATACCAGTATACAGCTATCTACATGCATCTATAATAGTACAAATGATTGTAAATCTTATTGTTGTGAAGAAAGTATTGAAAAACATACATTTATTGAGGATTTCAAAAACTTAATTTCTAAGTATCATGTATCACACAACTTTATTAATGAATTACTACCTTCATTAAGACATGAAGGACTTGAGTACCTATCAAAAAATGCCAGAACTCTTAAATACACCATCTCATCAGAGAATCATTGAAGTTCATCCGGGGTCATATCTTCATTTTGGAATTGAAAAAATGCCTAATCGAATACTTCTTGAATTTTTTGATAATTTGAGTTATACGTCTGCTATAAAATTAGCTTTCAACATTGATGGTCTTCCTATATAAAAAAGCTCTAAATCTTGTTTTTGGCCCATTTTAATAGCAATTGAAAATGTTAAAATATTATCAAAATTGGTTGTACCTGTTGGGATATATTATGTCAAATATAAAAAACCTAATTCAGTTTTTGATTTTCTTAATAACTTTACATCAGAAATGAGTTATTTGATAAAGAATGGATTAAATATAAATGGAAAAATATTCATGTTTGAACTATCCCAAGTGGTCTGTGATGCACCTGCAAAGGCATTTATTCTTAACGTCAAAGTACATAATGCTTATCACGGCTGTAGTTCTTGTATAGATGAAGGTTCATTTATTAACAATCGAATGAGTTTTAACAACTTGAATTCTTCTTTAAGAACCGATAAATCTTTTCGTGACAAGTCTGACGAAGACTGTAATGGGCATGTATTAAGTATAACTGAAGTTAGTATAAACAGCTTTTCCTTATTATGTGGTTATCCTTGTAAAAGCATTTAGCAATCTTATAATAACAATCTATGAACACGAGGCGGGGTTTCTTCATTACGACAACAACAACTACTTTTACGACCACACCCAAGGCGCCTGCTGACCAGATCAAAGGAGCTGACAGCATATATAAGGCAGACAGGAGCACAGCTAGATCAGATGTACCTGGACCATCAAAATCGAAGTCACTTCACGCCACCAGCCATTACACACCGCCACACCACTACTACCACGAAATCATAATTAAACTGTTCTAAATCATTAAAACACATTTTATTACTTTGAAATCAGTATTTTTATTTAAAACTACATTATCGTTTGGATTCTGAAAGGTCTGCACGTAACAAGACTATCACAAAGGTAATAGTCCATTAGAACAATTTAAAATTGATATTACATCTACAGTTGTACTTGATTATATGCATTGCGTATGTCTAGGAGTAATGAAAAGAATCCTTGTTTTCTGGTTGCAAGGAACTAAGCATGTTAGATTTTATAATCCTGATATTAATACTATTTCAGCAGAACTATTAAATTTACACGGTATGTTTTCTTCAGAATTTTGTAGATAACCTAGATCATTAAAATAAATAGAATTTTGGAAAGCAACAGAATTCAGATCATTTCTTCTATACACTGGCCAATAGTGTTAAGAGGAAGAATAAAAAAAAAGTTTTACACTCATTAACTACATTTTCTTACTGCAATCCGCCTTCTTATTTCCAGTGAAACTTGTTTTATCTACAATGATTTGGCCAATAAGTTATTACGAACATTTGTTGATGATTATTCTAATTTGTACGGTAGGGAATATATTAGTAATAACGTCCATAATCTTGAAGTGGTCCCGCGCAAAATCTGTTTGAATTCAAACAGCCTTTGGGCAGAAGCCGCGCCGTGGCTTCTCAATCAAACCGCCAATTGACGACGGACGACGCCTGGAAACGTCGACCGGCCGTTCGGCGAACCGGCTCGTACAAGTCACTTGTTTTTCTCAGCGACCAGGACACAGACCTCCACACACGTCCCCACGAGTCTAACACTACCGATACCGTTTCTCAATATATTGAATGTTTTTTTTTTTTGTTTCAGACTAATAAAAGTTGAATTGCATCAGTGCGCCGTTTCGTTGTTCTTTTTTTTGTTTTCTTTTGACCCTTTCTTTTGGTCACCTTCACCACCATCATGCGCACCCACAGGTCCGCATCAATCTAATAATTCGCCTTTCCAATTTTGTAAAAAATCACGGGCCTCTTGATTCATTTAGTTAATTTAAATTTGAAAATTATCTACAATTCGTTAAAAAAGTTTAAAAACTCTAAGTACCCCCCGTTACAAGATATATATAATCGCGAATAGAACACAGGTATGTTCTAATAAATGTAACAAAAAAAAAGTGCTCTGCTGTAGTGTAGGTTACAAGTGGGTCACTGTATAATGAGTGGTATTAAATTTTGAATTCAATGATATAATATCATTGTATAAGAAAAACGATTCTGAGTGGAGGCGGTATGTCAGTCTAGGTATAAGACATATTATTATACATATACATATCTATGATATTAAAAAAAAAATTGACCTATAATAGGTACCTATAATAAATTCCAAATTAATCATATCACAATATCCATTAGGTACTTATATTACGTTATACATCAACAAAAAACAGTGATACTATCATAGAGTACTAATCTATAGTAGTACACATTAGAAGTTCCAAGTACCCACGAATAATATTATACAATCACAACAAAATAACTTAAATAGTTATTCTAGGTTTTTAATTATGTAATTTCGTCCAAATTTGAACTTAAAATGACTATAAAAATAAACTGTGCTTGTGTATTTTTTAGATTTTTTGGTACCTAACAGAATTAACTACTTACATGGAATCATGTATTAAATTTTCAATTCTTAGCCATAAAAACTGAACAACTACAATGATAGATAATTTTTGAGATTTTGTCAAAATTCGAACTTTAAATTCTTATAATAAAAATTTGTGCCTATGTATTTTTAATATTTTTCAAATGCTATTGTAACAATATATCAGGAGCCTTGTATTAAATTTTCACATTTTTTGGAAACAGATAAAACTTTATTGATATTCAAAGAAAAAAAAAAAACCGAAAATGTCCGTAAACAGCTCAAAAAGAGTCAAAATATTTTCAAAATTGTATGGTGTATAGGGAATGCTAATATAAATATTCAGTAAAATTTTCATGTATCTACAGTTATTCATTTTTGAATTACAACAAAATAAAGAAATCGCTACATGAGAAATCGAGTGAATATCCTATGTTGTAAAAATTTGAATTTCAAACGCTCATAAAAACTAAATTTGTTTTCTTATAGACATTTTTTTAGATTCTGAGTTAAACGATGAATTTATGTTTGTTAAACATAGGTATGTAATAATTTATACATTATTTTATTTTATAATAATACATTAAATCAATTAATTTAATTATACCTACTTTATCTGCAGTGTATACACATTTTTATATTTGTATACAATACCCAATTGGTATCCATTGGCCATTACCCATATTATGTATACTTTGATTGTTATTATTTTTATTATTCCTGGAATTGATTCCAATTGCAATAGGCCAGGGGTCGGAAACCTTTTTTGACGGAAGAGCCAAAAGTTACAATATGTATACAAAATTTTTCAGATTTTAAAGAGCCACTAAAAATGTTCGTAATTTTTTAAATATAACTTTATTTTTAAATTGTAATAGACATAATAATAATACAATTAATTATAATAATACCTATAATAGATTTGTAATAAAAAAAACAGTTTTTAATAATAGGGAAATACATCAACATTGGCTTTGCATGTCTTTTGAAAGTTCTTTTAAATTTGGCTCATAACTTGTGGTTTTAAGTTTCAAGCACGACTCTAGATTTTTATTTGTTAGTTGGCTTCTTACTTTAGTTCTTAGAGTTCATCAGATGCACTTATGAAACAATCTTTGACGTACTCACCATCTGTGAATGGTTTCCCTCTTTTTGCAATTGCTAGTGATACTGCAAGCTAGCCTGGTTTACGTTATTTGAAGATTGCGTCCAGTTACTTAGCATGGAACTTGACTGCAGTTTTGTTTTTTTAAGCTCTCCAACAGCTTTTTTTCATGTATCACCGATTAGATATTTACTAGCGAACTGGGTATGTTTGTTTAAGTGCTCTCCATTGACTTTATGTGCGCCAGCTTTTCGTGACAAATGAGACAAGTCGGAAGGCCATCTGTGTTGCATATGAACGCAAAGGACTCCGTCCAATCCTGATGAAATTCTCTATTTTCTTCAGTTCTTTTCCTTTATTAAATTAACATGCACATGCAACGTAACGTGACTGACGGATGTCAATTCGTCGAACAAAATAACTCGTAAAATGATATCATATTATTTTGGACTTTGTTCACGTTGTTAAATTCTCATGACGGCGTATGACTAATTAGTTGTAGATAGCGTCGCGATTATATTAGACTCTATAATAAACATTTTACAACGATAGACTGTACTCCATGCGGCCCTATCAAATTATTTTTGTTATGTATTATTTCATATTTAAAAAAGCAACAAAAATAATATACTTTTTTATATCATAAAAAATATTGTTTTTGAACATAAAATATTAATTTTTGGGTATGTAGCTAGGGAGCCGCAACTTGAGACTGAAAGAGCCACATATGGCTCGCGAGCCGCAGGTTGGCGGTTGCCGACCCCTGCAATAGGCTTACCTATTTTTCTATTCCTTTATTGTATGTATAATTTGTTTTTATAACTATTCATTTATGTATTTCTTTATTAACTATAAAATAATAAATTTATAATTAATATTGTACTAGGTACTACAAAATAATACAACAATCTGTTTTGTTAAATTAATTATTAATGTAAAATATTTTTACTTATTCAGATTTTGTTTTCAATAAAAAAAAAAAAATTGTTTTGATTGTTTTTATATTTTATTTAGTTATTGAGTATTTTTGTTCCTTTCATACATTATTATACTCTGTTCAAAATAAGAACAGTAGTCGGCGGCCTAGTTCTGCGCATGGGCGTGGCTTTGTTCCGTAGCAGCGCCCGATGCGTCGCTGTAGTGACCATATGTCTGACCGCCGGCGGACAAAAACTCGTCGCCGCCGACTACTGTTCTTATTTTGAACATACTATAGTATACTACTTATTTTTAAGAAAATACTTAATATACTTCATACATACCCAAAAAGGTAAGATATATTTAAAAAAATTATCGATAGTGTGAACTGGATTGAAATATCGATATGAGGTTCATTTTCAAATAATACTCAGAAGTTAATATTTTATATCCTTGTGATAAACCTATTTGAGTACTATGCGAAGTATATTTAACAGTATTATACATCACAGACTGAAGTCACATTTAGATATCACTAAGTAGTCACAGTTGTGATGATACATTTTCAAAATCTCTCAACCTGGAGTTTAGCATCGATATAACATCTCAGAGAAGTAGATAGGCATTTATAATCAACTTCATGAGTACCAATGGGACATAGGCGCAATTTGAGGGGGGGGGGCTTGGGTGTACTTATCACCCCCAGTTTTGAAATTAGCACCGCCAAATTTGATCACGTTATTTTAGATTTTAATTGTCGGTATGTATAGAAAAACTAAGTTTTTATTGTATTATTACATTTAATTATGCGATGAAACGTTTTTGTATACTGTATGCAGACAGTAATAAAATAACTTGTAATTCTGTAATCTGTGTAATCGCTTCTTATAAAAATATTTTACAATTAAATCAAAGTGACCAATTTAAATTTAGATATTGATGTTGTTAACGTAAATAACATAGAACATATAAGTTGTAAATACCGTAGCGGTGGCGATAACACCCACCCGGACGGCTGCATTTGCATTGTGACAAACCCGATGTACTACTGTGTTATACTATTATGGTTTTATCATTGATAATGATAATAAATAATTATATTTATAACGTTGACTATTGTTTTTCAATTGACAATTGCTTGTATTTATTGTCTGCCACAGTTCCATGGCAATGAGAACCTCAGAGCGACGATTAAAATATAATATTAAAGTTTGATTCGTAAATTTGTTTGTGGTATTCCGTTAAGTTTTTTTATGTTTATTTGAAATAACTATTTGAGTTAATTTATTTAATTAGTCATAAAATCACCTAAAATCGTAAAAAAAAAATGTTTTCAATATTTGAAAAGTATAAATGCAAAAAAAAAAAACCAATTGTGAAGCTAATACAGAAATATTTGCCACTGCTAGTAAGTAAAAATCTAGTCTTTAAACTAAAATTAAAGTTCCACTGTTGCAATCATATTGAAAAATCGTTTTAAACTTTTAACATTATTTTCATGTTTATATTCAATGATCAATTTTATATTATAATATAGGTACTTCCAGTATTGGCAGTATTACTTCTGAATCTGAAGATATCTGTATTATGGTCGATATGCAACAAGTAATGAATAAAGATTATGATGTATTGGGCAAAGATGCTACTTGGATCTAAACGAAGTGTCGTTCGATCGGACGGGACACTTTATACCCGTAAGGGATGGTGTATTTCAGGCGTAGGGAAAGTGGCGCTCCCATCGCCGAGTGCACTTCTATAAGTACACTGCAGTAGCCCTACCCTGACCTTGATTGGTTGGGGTAGACTGGTCCTCCAGGTTGGGGGTTAAGCGCAGGGTTAACAACCCTGCCTAGTAAAAGAACCTTGTTATGAAACCAACTACACCTAAGCCTCGGACAAGATTACACGGATTCAAGACTGGTTTTTTGGAAACGGAATGCTGATTTTAAGATTGCGACATGGAATGTGACAAGCTTGTATAGAACAGGTGCAAGTCAAAATTAAGCTGACGTCCTTAACAACTACAACATTAAAGTAGTAGCCTATACAAGAAATAAAATGGTTGGGAGTAGGACAACTAACGATAGGAGAGTACACAATTTTCTTCTCTGGAATGGAGGATACACATCATCTCGGCAATGGTTTTGCAGTTCATAGGACACTAGTACCGTACATTAAGGAGTTTAATCCAGTATCCGAACGGATATCAACCTTAACCATCAACACTAGTCCAATTAATATCTGTATAATAAATTGCCACGCACCAACAGAAGTAAAAGATGACAATGTGAAAGATAGCTTCTACGACGAACTGACTGATACATATGAAGGTATCAATGGGAACATGATAAGGATTGTAATAGGTGATTTCGGACGGGAACCACAGTACTTCCCTTGCATAGGGAAGGAAAGTTTGCATTGCAATATCAATGACAATGGTCAGCGATTGATAGCGTTTGCGACATCAAATGGATTGACTGTTAGTAGTACCACTTTCCCGCATAAAAATATTCACAAAGCCACTTGGAGGTCACCGGATGGAGAAACCCTGAACGAAATCGATCACATTCTCATACAGACTAGATACCGTAGTACAATCCACGATGTAAGAAGCCACAGAGGTGCTGACTGTGACACGGATCATTACTTAGTGATTGCCAAACTTAGATCAAAGTTAAAAAGCCAATCGAGATTAAAAGACAAAAGAGCTAAATTCAATCTAGAGTTACTAAGAGATGAAACCGTGAGGAAAAAATATGAGAGCGAAGTAAGGAAAGAGCTTAAAGAAAATAGCGTACAAATAGAAATAGATGTAGACTTGGATTGGGAAAAAGTGAGTAATGCTGTCAAAAAAGCAGCGGCCACTAGCATTGGTGAGCTAAAAAGGTCAAGAAGTACTTGGTATAATGATGTGTGTAGAATTGCTGTGGACAAACGTCGCAAAGCGAGAGATGACTTTATTAAGAACAACACTCAAACAACTAAAGAAGCTTTCATTCGGGAACGTAAAATCTGCAAAAGCGACCTTCAAAGGAAAAAAAGAAAATTCTTTAACAACATACTTCATACCGCAGAGAACGATCATACGCAGGGGAAAACTAGAAATTTTTTTAGAGTCATCAAACAGTATAAACAATTCAACCCTATATGGAATTCAATCAGAGACCAAGACGGACAAATGTCAATGGAGCCAGAGTCAAGAGCTGAGAGATGGAAAGGCTATTTTTAAAAACTACTAAATGGTAACATGCCAGCCCAGCCTGTAACACATGTCGAATATGAAAGACCGGAGCCCTATGCAGAGGATGTTAGTCTAGATGAAGTAAAAAGTGCTATAATTGGCCTGAAAAATTGGAAAGCACCGGGTACAGATAATATTCCAACAGAACTCATTAAATATGGAGGCGAGGAGCTACATGTAGTAATATACAGACTGTGCCAGCAAATATGTATGGAAGAACGGGTACCGGATAGCTGGAATGAGGCAATCATTATACCATTGTACAAAAAAGGAGATAAGACAAAATGTGATAATTATAGAGGGATATCGCTCTTGAACTCTGCGTACAAGGTCTTCTCTATAATCTTACTAAATCGCATGGTCCCTTATGTGGAGGACTGTTTAGGTGAATATAAATGTGGTTTCCGAAAAGGACGTTCAACCACGGAACAACTATCCGTAATAGGCCAAATAATTGAAAAGAGATACGAATATCGGCAGAATATGTGGCAATTTTTATAGATTTCAAAAAAGCCTATAATAGTATCCACAGAGAGAGCCTCTACAACATTATGTATGAGTTCGGTTTCCCAAAAAAATTAATATCCCTAACTAAAATGTGTATGGAAAACACGAAATACAGAGTGAGAACACAAAATGTAACATCAGAAACCTTTACAGTGGACACCGGACTAAAACAGGGAGATGCCCTGTCCCCAATACTCTTCAATCTTGCTTTAGAGAAGGTAATAAGGGTACTACAGGACAATGAAGGTGGCCTACTAATCGGTCAGAATAAGATACAGATCCTAGGCTTTGCTGATGATTTAGACATAATAGGCGATTCACTTTCAGACGCAGCCAACGCAGCCAGAGTGTTAGAAGAAGCGGCGAAAAAAATAGGTCTTGAAATTAACACTGAGAAAACAAAGATAATGGAACTAATTGAGAGTGGGGAGGACCCTAGTGAGTCGGAGAATTTAGCCTATGAAAAAGTTAGCGATTTCAAATATATGGGAGATACATTAAGTACAAAGAATGATTGGTCAAAGGAAATAAGTATTCGGATAAACAAAGCTCAGAGAACGTTCTATGCACTGACAAAATTTTTCACGTCCAAAATGTTATCAAGGAAGACGAAAACAAGACTATACGTAGCCATTATAAGACCGACGCTAACATATGGTTGCGAAGCTTGGACGACAACCAAACAAACAGAGAGAAAACTAAGGACTTTTGAACATAGAATATGGAGGAAAATCTGTGGACCTGTCTTTGACGAAACAACGGGGAATTGGCGGAGGAGGTACAACAGAGAGTTGTACGATATGTTGGAACTAACAACAGTAACAAGCTTCATTAAAAGCCAAAGGATACAATGGCTAGGACACACAATGAGAAGACGAGAGAATGAAATAGTTAGAGTGACATTGAAATGGAAGCCAATAGGTAAAAGACCAAGAGGTAGACCGAGAAAAAGATGGATAGACGTGGTAGAAGATGATTTGAAAATCCTTGGAGTTGAGAATTTGAGGGAGACAGTTCAAGATAGAGACAGGTGGCGAAGTGTAGTAATGGCGGCAAAAACTCTTAGAGAGTAGAAATGCCATTAGAAGAAGAAGGGATGGTGTATAGGCAACTTCTTTTACAGGATCGCGACGTCCCTTAAACCTGAGTGGGTAGGCAACTTATCAGACCTGATGCTATGCCTGAAACGTAGAACCGGCAACCTGTTTCGGAAAGACGGATGTTATGACAGGACGGAAGCAGTTTATACAACGGAACATGGAAATTCAGTCTAATAAGTGTTGGGTGTGGTTGTCCTCTTGGTCAGTTCAGAGTGGTGCAATGACCGACGAGGCTCACATATAATCGGGCATTTCTTACAAACTATTACTTAATGTTAATTAAAATTAAGGCAGGTGCAGTGGGCGGATAGATTCGTCGGTGAGTAGCGTGACTGGACGACCGTGGCGGCCTCTCACACACCCTCAGTTGGACGCTGGTGGACTTACGCAGCAGCGGGGCAGCAAGTTGGCAGACCAGGGCGGCCTCACACACACCACGCCAGATGCTGGGGGACTTATGCG